AAAACGGATTTAATCAGGGTTTGTTTGCACAACACCTGCAAACCTCTTTGTTTGAGTAAAGCTGATCTAAAAAGCAGGGCACAGACAGCATTGGATCTGTAACATTAGCAAAATAGAGGACACTAACCATCAAGCCATCCTGAATATGTAGAACAAATGCTGAGACCCGTTTCCAGGAGCAGGTTTTCTGAAAACTCTTAAGTTTTCTAAACCTTAAATCAGGAAAACTCTGAGTTTTTTTTTCACAAAGATAGTTTCCTGGACCTCTGTTTCTGTTACCGTAGTAACATTCTCCATAGAGCTAACTTTCTCAGCAGCAGGTTTTCCTCAATAAACTCTGCATCCTCAGTCTTCGCCCTCCTTAAAACCAAAGATTGTTTTATTTTCTAATTTAGTCAACTGAGTCCTATTGTAATTTTGAGCAAACAATAAAAGAAAATCAGTCAGTAGGTCCGTTAAAGACATTAGGTGTTGAAAGCATGTCCTTTTGAGTATCCAATCAAACAATGGACTGCATTAATTCATATATAATTAAATATAGAGAGGGTTCTCAGACTGCGTATAGTGTGCTGTATATTCAGAAAATATCAGAACTTGATATCTGTGAGAGAACATTGATGTGAGATTTGGGCACATAGTGATAACAGCATTATAGAAACAACTGGGCAGTGAGACAGCCGCTTAGTATTTACTGTGTAATGGAAGAATGAAATCAGTTGAGGAGGAACCCCATGAGAAGATGCACAGGTCCTACCTTTTTTTGTACTTAATCTTCACCTGCTGACAGGTGCGCTTCTCTGAGATTTCACTTAATGAGAAATCCTTTATCCTCAACCAGTGAAATAGATTTCCCCAGTAATGTTAGGGTAATAAATACAGCCTATGGCAGGCCATTCAGATATTTATTAGTTTGTCTGAATAAGGTATTTTTAATATGTGAAATACATTTTTTCCTTTTCAAAATGAGCAGTTTCCTATAGATTGGAGAAGATAAGGGTAAATAATAATACATAATAATAATAATCTACATTCTTTAAAGTTATTGGCCTTGGATTATCGATATATCTTTTGTCTTTACCTTGTTTGGGTAGATAATGTAATACCTCCTTGTTTCATAGTTGGCATTAAATTATTATTTAAATATATTTTTTTAAGGCTTTGAATAATACTTCTTTTAAGTCTAAAACTAGCCTTGTAACTTGAGATGGTCGGATCCATCCATAGAATGAGTACTTTTACCCTTAAAATAAGATAAATTAGATATTATACAAATAAAACAAGAGACTGCACTTAGTTTTTCTTATTCTAAATGTAAATTGCCTTATTCCATTTGGCAAAGTGTCTCACTTACCTGCTGAATTCCAGAAGGAAATGCTCTTATTTTAAGAATAAATTGACTTAA